GTGGGCCTAGGGAGCCATGCATTGGATAAATGGGGCGCAACAGCCTGGTTGTCTGCTCCATGCAGGGGTGGTCCTGGGCCTGGGCCCCTGTGCAGGTCATTGGGTCAGGGAGTGTGGTCCTGGGTCCCTGCGTGGTTCACCGGGGAAAGTCCTGGGCCTGGACTCTTGTGTGGGTCTGAGGGGCAGTCCTAGGCCTGGGCCTGGACTTTTCCACAGGTCACTGGGGGCCAGCCTGGACTGATGGGGGCCAGGATACATATTTTTAACACCAGAAAAATAATAAATATAGGGAAGGAAAGGATCATAGTACACTTACTGATCCAGCATATGTAACAGTATCAAAAACTATGATGTAACTGTGCTGGGATCAGTGCTGTGTCAAATCACACATGGGTCTGAGGAGGAAGAAAAAAATGCATATCTCTATATACAAGTTTTTGTGTATTTAATATTGTTTCTCAGAACATTAGTCAACTAATACTGAAAAACTGAAAAGTTCCTGAATTGAAACCCAAAACATTAGCTTAAGTTTAAATATTCTAACCAAATCAGGATTTATTATCATTTAACTTTCTTGGCCTTATCGAAAGTAAACACATCAATAAGTATTTTCAAAATCTAAGTTTTCTCTTGTTGCAAAAGAGCAAACTTCCATGTTTGACAATTTCTCTTGACCAATGGACAATTTTGAAAATTTTTAACATTGTTAATTTACTGATATTTCTTTTGCAAGATGCAACTATGGATACAACTGTTAAAATCTCAGAATACCATTTCAAAATCTGTATTAGACTACACTAAGCCCAATGTTGTTTTAAAACATAATGTCAGTTGTATATTACAAATCATTGATATGGTATATTGCTTTAAACTATTTCAGATCAAACCTCAATAGAGATTAAATTATCAAAAAATTTAAGTGCCAAATCAGTGGTTGTTTTATGTAAATTGTATGTATTTACAGCAAACAACTATTCTCTAATTTAAAAATTTGAAAGCGGGGCTGGGGATGTGGCTCAAGTAGTAGTGCGCTCATCTGGCATGTGTGAGGCACTAGGTTCGATCCTCAGCATCACATAAAAATAAAATAAAGACATTGTGTCCACCTAAAAGCTAAAAAACAAATATTAAAAAAAATAAAAATTTGAAATCTAAAGAACACTTCATTTTTCATGTCTATTTCAAATATAAAATCAGGCATGTAACTATATGGTTGTCCTCTTCCTCCCTTACCACTCCACGTGTGTCCTACCAGAAGCTGTGGGTTTGGTCAAGGGTATACACATAGCTGTGCTAAAATCTTTCAAACAAGTTCTCAAAACATTGGTAATCTTAATTTCTATTTAATAAATACTTTCCTCATAACTACTGATGTTCTCATGCAGTGATTCATGTATTTCAACTTAACTTTTTCATTTATTTTCAAAGTTGGAAAGAATGTTCATCTGTGGCTAATGTTTTGCATTTATTGAATATACTTTCAAAATTGCTTTCTGTCATTTGTTGTAAGCAGAGAGAGACAGCCTTTCATGAAATGTGCAGTTTTATGTACACTCATTGTATTTTCACTATAGAGCTTCAAATTATTCCATTTGATTCAAATTTCATACTGTACAGATAGTTTGCATGGTATTTTATAATCAAGATGCTTTTGGGCTGGGGCTTGGGCTCAGTAGTTGAACTCAGGAGCACTCAACCACTGAGCCACACCCCCAGCCCTATTTTATATTTTATTTAGAGACAGGGAATCTCTGAATTGCCCTAGCCTTGTTAAGTTGCTGAGGCTGGCTTTGAACTTGGGATCCTCCTGCCTCAGCCTCCCAAGCCACTGGGATTATAGGTGTGAGCCACCGTGCCCAGCAAACATCATCTCTTTCTAATTAATTAATAATTTCATAAACCAGATAATATCTAGATTTTTTTAAGTTTTATTGGGATAAAATTTTCTAATTATTTCTTTTGTGTCAATCAAATCAACAAAACTTTCTTTTTTTGTCATGACATTATTCTTAATGTAAATATAGCTAATAATCAGATACATTTATTTATGATTGATTACATAAATTAAGTATTTTCCTTTTATTCTCAATAGTATTTCAGATTTAACATAATTTTCTAATAGCATTATAAATGTTTTAAATTTTATTAGACAAATAAGACAGATTCCTTTGTATGATTATGCATATCATTACAATATATCTTATAAAAGTTCAAATAAATTAGAAATAGTCCTACATCAGACTTTCAATAATTTCTTGTGTACTCTTAAGAGGTAAACTATTTTTGCATAAAATATATATCTAGAACCACTCACACATATTTTATCATATTCTATAAGGCATCATCTATTATCAGTTTAAATATATTTTTAAAAAATCTTCAATTTAGTGACTTGGGAGGCTTAGGCAAGAGGATTGTGAGTTCAAAGCCAGCCTCATCAACTTATCAAGGCTCTATGCAACTCAAGGAGACCCTGTCTCTAATAAAATACAAAAAGGGGCTAGGCATGTGGCTCAGTGTTAAGTGCTTCTGGGTTGAATTCCTGGGACCAATGGAGGGGAAAAAAAAAAGTATGAATGAAAACGCAATAAAGCAAGAAGTTTTAAGTATACATGAGGAGATCATGATAATGAATTCACTAATGGAACACTTTAAAAAGATTAATCTTCTGCAAATCTTTGCCCATCTTAAACAGATTTTCAAAATCTAAATCATGAGCTTAGCTAGATCCACACTCTATTAAAATCACTTTTATTTTGGTCACAATGAAGGATTAAAATTTACTTCAAAATTATCTTTTTTTTCTTTTTCTTTTTTGGTACTGGGAATTGAACCCTCAGGTGTTTTCCCACTGAGCTACATCCCCATCCCTTTTTATTTTTTAGTTTGAGAAAGAGTCTGACTAATTTGCTTGAGAGTCTTGCTAAGTTGTTGAGACTGGCCTCAAATTTGTAATTCTCCTGCTTCAGCCTCCTGAGTTGCTGGGATTACAGGTGTGTACGACAACATTCAGTCAGTGTTTTCTTTTCCTTGTGCAACTAGTATGTTCTCAAGCTTTTGAAATTTCTAACATATCATTTTCTTTCTTTTTTATAATTCAAAGAAAATTCTTAATTGTAACTCTGAATTTCATGGTAATTTTGTCTAAGGGTTTTAATGTTAAGAACTTCATCATTTTTAGTAGATAAACACTGTTTTTCTAGACAGACCTGTTACTGCCCCTGTAGTTTTGATCAGTTTCTTCACACATTTTCTTCTGAACATTGTACCACTTGGCTTTTTAGATACAATATTTGAGAAAAAAAAATTAATGTACACTGAAAATGTTTATTTTTAACTAACACATTTAGCTAAATATATTTAATTTATATAATGAGAGTCAGTTTATGAGTGAGACAAATCATAAAAGAGAACATTACCCTACTCCCTACCACCTTATATTGGCTAGCAAACACTAAGTAACAAGCACCAGCAGTACTGTTGGAAGAAATGCAAGAGCGTAGATAATGACACTCCTGGAGGCTCAGTCTCAAGCGAAAGTCAAAAGCTGAGTATGGAGCAAGAACACTGAGAAAAAAATCCCCATCCTCAACATAAGGAATTACTACAGGTATTGAACCTGTGGTTGTCTTGAGGTAATCATAGCAATGAGAAAACCAAAATTCAGGTGAACGCCTTCCTAGACAGCCGCAAACTCCACACTAAAGGCCTAACATAAGAAAAGGTATGCACATTTCCACATACACATACTCTTTACCCCGGTCTCACAATAGTGTCTGGCTTTCCACCAAACATGATACAACATACAGAAAAGCAAGGTGAAAAATACCTCTAAGAACACAAAGGTAGACATGATCCAGATTCTAGAATTATCAGACATAAAATTTTAAATTACTACAGTTAATATGTTAAATGCTTTAGTAGAAGAAGGGTCAATATGCATAATCAGGATAGGATTTTCAATAAAGGGTCAGAAATTCTAAGAAGAATCAAATCAAGTCCTAGAAATAATAACAAATTTATCATTATAGAGGTTAAAAATGCCTTTGATGGACTCATCTGTATACCTGGCACAAATAAAAAATGAATCAGTAAATCTGAAGATTAAAAAAAGAGTCAGTTGGGGAATGGAAATCAAAACCAGGCATTTAAGAACAGGGCTAACATCAAATGGTTTAACATATGTGAAATTGGAACTCCAGAAGTAGTAGATAAGAGTTGGTTCAGAAAATACCAATTAGGATAAATGCCAAAAACAGTTAAAGACACAAATAGATAAACATATAAAAAAGCAAACAAACAAAACAGACTTAAGACATGTCATGTTCATACTGGTTGATAATTTAATCTTGAGAGTATGCAAAGAAAAATCACATATTACATAAAGACAATAATTATAGAAAGACATCACATCAGAAAATATGCAAGCTAGAAGACAATAACATTATTTAAACCAATTGTTTGAAAGAAAAAACAAAAACAAAATTGGAAATTCTATACCTACCATAAAATATCTTTCCAAATGAAAAAGATATTATTAAACAAAAAGCCTTGGAAGAATTAACTGCCAGCAGGCCCGAAACATAAGATATAGGAAGTAAAGGGAATATGACAGAAATGGAGAGCAACATCAAGAAATGAAAAGATTTGGAAATGTCCCAGAACATAAAATCATCTGAAACTACTAATTTTCCAGTGTGCCAAGTGATTGACGTTTTAATTATTTCAGGATTTTTACTTCATAAATTTATATCTATTACACAGTAGTAAATTAACATTATGCAAGTGAAATACATGTTTGTCAAAATGAAAAAACCTTAACATTTTACTTAAAATTAGGTATTTTTATAAGATGAAAATTTTTAAATCTATTTTTTCCTATTACATGCCAATAATTGTTGCTGACACATGCATTTTGAAATTTAATTTTTTAAAAAAATCACACCAACAATATTTTCAAAAGTCTAAACCATTAAGAAAAAAAATGAAACAAACTTTACCTTAGACATAGATTCTTGTTCCTTAATGGGCACTTCATTTTTTAATCTTGAAAACAAAATAAATACTCATTATTTTATACTTACAATAATGAAATAGGAAAGATTTTGCATGATTATAATAATTAAAATGTAAATCTAAACCAATATATATTTTATGACATAATAGTAAATTGGACCTCATATCAAGGTAAAAGTAAAATGTAGGCTATTAAACAAAAGATTTATTAAATGGTTAAAAATGAATAAAGACATGTATTTCTCTATCAAAAAGCAAGAGCATTTAAGGAATGTACTCTTTGCTAAATACAATTTAAAAGACATAAAGAATTACTCCTTAAAAAGAAAAAGCAGTATATATACATATATGTATACATATACATACACATATAAAATATACATTAATATTTATTATAATAGGACTTAAAAAGTGAAAAGAACCTTTTTCTATAATGAAATTCCATAATAATGTCACTTCAATATGTATTACAATTAAGTTACTCTAGAAGCAGTAAAATCTCAGAAATAATCTAGAATTTTGAAGAATATATTCTTAAAAACCTCCATAATCACTGCTCAACAATTAACTATACTTTATAAACCTCCTGACTCCTAAACAATGCTTATTATAACTTATTAACAATATTAACAAAGGTATATACCATCTAGAAAAATCTTGTAAAATAATCTACAATGTAACAGCTAGCTTTTCTAAATGACCTTTGTTTCATAAACTGATGACTAAAAATATTATTTGGAGAATTTAAGCATCAAAAAATATTGATATTATATACTAAATTCGATTTTAATGCACATAAGTAGGTCAGCCAACTTGACCTGAAATGCCATTAATCAAGAGTTAATTGATGAAGGCTCAGTAACTATAAGAAATAGTATATTTAATACAAGCAACAACTACACTGACTTTTAAATTTCATAGACAAAAATGAAGATATCTAATAGGACAAAAATGTCATCTCTTATAACGTTCTCTCATGGCTAGGCAATGGCAAAGACTCTTCCTCTTTATGAAGTGCCTATGCATTTTAAAAATTAGGAATATAGGGGCTGGGTTGTAGCTCAGTTGTAGAGCACTTGCTTAGCAAGTGTGAGGCACTGGGTTCGATCCTCAGCACCACATAAAAGTAGAAATGAAATCAAGGTATCTTGTCCATCTACAACTAAAAATTTTTTTAAAAAAAGTTAGGGCTATAAAAGGAAAGAGTGTATAGTTCAGTGGTAGAGAATGTGCTCAGTATGCACAAAGCACTGGGTTCAATATTCAGCACCACTAAAATAACAATGATGGTGATGATGATAAAGGGGCTATGGCCTTTTTTTTTGCATACTGTTATAACTGTAGTACATTACAATAAGTTAAAATTAATTTGTTAAACAAGTTGAACTGAATAAAACTTGAACAAAAGATTGATCAAATACATTTGAGGTTAAAGATTGTGTGATTATCTCAATTATCTAAACAATATAAATAAAGATGAGACTGTATAAAGTATATATAACTTCATTGTTTTAATGGAGCATATGGATAAATAATTGTTTTAAAAGTAACATGTTTAATGAAAAAACATTGTTAGTCTAAACATAGATATTATATTAATGAAGCATTGAAATAAATTAATCTTATAACTGATTTTTATTTCTAAGCATTTGATCATTTTAAATTCAATTTGAAAAAACTGAAACAAATGGGCCAGAAAACACCTAAAAATATAAAATATTTTGGGGGCTGGGTAGAGTGCTTGCCTAGCATGTATGAGGCCCTGAGTTTGATCCCCAGCAAAACACACAGTTATTTTCTTTTCCGTTTACTATTAAAATGTTATCAAAGATCTTATACTCTTAAAAAAATTACCATGCTAATCATTTTCAATATGGGTATTATAATAAGTTAGTTTTATGCAGCAATTAAAAATAAAAGCCATTAAGCATGTTTAACTGGTATTGCTGGCATTTCCACTGGGGAAACTGAGTCCTCTGAGTATCACTGCAATGGAGGTTAGTGATGTAAATTGTTATATTTCTCCATTTTACTAAGAAACTGGTAGATGAGATCATGTTAAGTTATTGGAATAATTAATATTAAGATGTCTACGATGGGCTGGGGTTGAGGCTCAGAGGTAGAGTGCTTGCCTAGCATGCATGAGGCACTGGGTTTGATCCTCAGCACTACATAAAAATAAAATAAAGGTGTCCACCTACAACTAAAAATAAACAAATAAATATTTTTTTAAAAGATGTCTATGATCCCAAATATTGTTTTGTGCCTTTTACTATAAAATAATTCTCTTCTTAAGGGACAGGCTTATAACAACCAGTAAAAGCATTTAGAAAAGTAACTCTAATATCAATTAGAAATGTACTTTATAAATTTCATCATCATAAATTTATAACTAAAATTTTATAACTAGAGACACATACTCTAAGGTTAATAAGTTCTAACATAACTACTGATATATTATTAACATTTCAGGAAAGAAAAAAATTTTCATACCTGTAATTCTTATTCATTAAAGATACTTGCTGAAATAATCATCATTTGAGATATTCAACTGCTTTAGAGAAGACAGTCAAATTTGCTAAGCTCAAAGTTCTGAGCTAACGACCTGCCTTTAAGTAATTACACTTTTCACCTATAAATGTACTTTTTTAATAGAAAAATGTAGTGTAGTATTTAGGACATCTGAGTTCAATGCAAAGAGAACAGAAAGACTGGTGATCAATTTCAACATCATTAGCAAATAAAATTGAAAGTATGTAAGTTTTCTTCTCTATAGAAACCTGTTTAAATAGATTTGTTTTTAAATAATAATCCCTTTTCTGTAAAGTCCTAAATGAAATTAATGGTTTCCTGTATTTTTCTGCAGGTCACATGACCAACATAAGGCTACATATAAAAGGAATATTCTGATTCAATGACACTAGTTATGTTCTTTTGAGGCTTCATTCACACTATAAACATACCACAATATGGGGAGATGAGCTGTAAGGAGGGAAATAATCATTCATCCATAAACTCAGGCCAATAATAGCATTATCTCAGAAATCGGCGTGAATTAAATGAGTAAATGAACATCAAATACTTGGAAGACTATAGGGCACATTGTATGTGATCAATAAATGTTACCTATTATTATTTCCAATCTTCCTGCTCAAGACTTGCTTGAGAGTGCACAACACAGGCCACTTTTACTCCCTAAATTATCTCCACTGTTTTGATTCTTCTGTCAAGCTTCCATACTACTCTTAAACACAATATATTCAATACTTCTTTTGATTTTTGGACTGGGATCAGCCTTATTTGTTCTAGTATGAAATGATCTATTTCTGAACACCTGGTTTTGAGCTATCATCTAAAGTTAGGGAAGAAAGCAGAAAAATCATTCTAGATAGAAGACAGAACTAGATAAAGACAGACAAGCAAACAAAGAAAACAAAATATCTGCATGTGAAAATGTCAAGAAAAAAAAAGACCACCGATGTAGGCAGAATTAATGAAAGAGTAGAAATCTATTGTGTTATGTGGTTTTGTTGGCAAAACTGAATTATACCCTAGACATTTCATTTATAATCTATAAACTACCCTTAAGACCAGGAGACCAAAAAAATTTTTTTAAATGGCAGTAACTACAGAATCACTAGCCAAAGCTGGTATGGTTTGTTCTAAATGATGAAGTACACAACAGTGTCATTTATCTTTGCATCTCACTGTTTCTCCCATTCTTTCACGCTAATCAGTTATCAAAGGCATTAGTCCCAACTGCCAGGAACCACTGTTATTAGTATTATTATTTTATATCAGAGAGTGAACCCAGTGGCACTTAACCATGAGCCACATCCCCAGGGTCTTGCTAAGTTGCTTAGGGCCTCGCTATATTGCTGAGACAGACTTTGAACTCTTGATCCTCCTGTCTCAGCCTTCCCAGGCACTGGGATTACAGGCATTAAATATGTCACCACGCCTGGCCACAAAACCACCACATCTTCATGCACAGCTCCTATCTACTGACTAGCAACTTCATATGAGGAACAAATGTGTTATATCCACCTTGAAAAGAAAAAACTATCTTCCAGTTCCCAAAAATTTGATTTATTAATGACTGTGAGAGAATCTAGGTTAAAGAATCTCTCATACCTCCAACCCCAGTCACATTTCAAGTTAAAGAAAGATGCCCAAACTCATAGATCAGAGTGGTTTGGTGTTTGGTTTTTCCTCCTTCTCCTCTTCCTTCTTCTAACTTAAATATATGAAGACATTTTGACCATTTTGAACACTTAAGATTCTATAACTTGGGTTAAACAATGATTCTTCCAAGTTCAGAAATTAAGAAAAACAATGGTGTAAGCCCTTATTCTTTGATGTTCATAGACTCAACGTGAGTAAATATTTTTAACAGAAATTTTGATATAGTTTAAAATGTAAGACTTAGAGAAAAACATTGTCATTCTACCCCTAGAAGAGTTTACTTATTGCTTGCATATATGAAAAACAATTAATGACTTAACAGTTTAGTTGCGAGTGGTATAATAAAATGATATTTTCACTTTTAAGAACAGGTTCTGATTCCTTCTGGGATAGTATTTCACAAAAATTATAGCTATTCAATATATATAATTATAATGGTTTAAATGATTATGAAATCAGCTGGCTATGTGGCCCTGTGAAGATATGAATTCAGCATGAACTTCATGTCTACATTTTTGATTCTCCTATTCTATAATTACCATGGTGAATGACATCAATCATGTCTTTTATTCATGTGTTCATTTCCAACACCTGACACAGAGTCTTGCACATTGAAGGCAGGATATCAGTGTCCAGTGTAATGACTTGTGAAAAGATTTATCTATATTATACTATGAAAAGAGTAACGTGCTAAGGATGAAACCCAATATTTCTCTTGCGATTCTTTAGCTTTAAGGAAAGTCAGAATTCTGTTTCTATTTCTTCTTAGTACATTTAAATTAGAGGAAATTTAATAAAGTGTATATACAAATTTAATCTTTAAAGCACACTGTGCATCTCTTAAA